GCGATGATCTGGCGGGTGATGTTTCAGCTGTGGCCACGTGGGGCATTCCAGGAGGCCCTGGCTGCTGTAGGGGCAAAGCAGGAAGGCTTCTCTGTCCAGGATGGCTGGGGGTCCACCCCAGGGCCTCAGAAAGTTTTCCACCTGCCCCTGGGCCTCAGCCTGGGGATTTCTCTTCAGGGGTCTAAACTCAAACTCAGGTGCCCAAGGGAGCCAGGGTGGTGACTTAAGAAGGTGAAGCTGGCAAGGGCAAGGGTACTGTGATGACCTGGGCAGCACATGTCCACTTGAAAGGGGTAGCCGTCACTCAGTACCATCAGATTGTTACCATGGCCCAGTGTTGCTAGATCCTCCTATTGTACAAGAGTTTGGAAATCTAGACCTTTACATGAAATCTCCTGTTTTGTAAGCAGCCAGTATTTACTGAGCATCTTCCAGGCTGTATTCTAGGCACTTGGAGATATGGCAGTGACTAAAACAGACCAAGATGTTCATCTTCTTGTGGTACTTACTTTCCAGTGGGGAGGGAGGCATTAAGTAAAATAACTAAGGCAACAACAAGAAAACTCTAAGAAGAAAATAAAATGGGAGGAAAGATAGTAAGTATATTGCACTAGGGACAAGGAAGGCCTCGTTGAGAGTGAACCAGGTGGTTACCTAGAAAGAGAACATGCCAGGCAGAGAGGGCAGCAAGTGCAAAGGCCCTGAGGTAGGAGGTAGCTTAGCATGTGCAGGCACATCAAGGGGACCTGTGTCACCTTGGCTGCCACATTGAGTGGTCTGTGGGGCAAGGGCAGAGGCAGGGGATTCATCAGAAGGTTATGGCAGCCATCAGGCCAGAGCTGATGAAGCTTGGAGCAGGAGGTAGTGGCAGGAGTGGTGAGAAGAGGTCAGATCCTGGACTTGTCTGGAAGGTAGAGAACAGGAGTTGCTGACAGAATGGGTGTGGAGTGAAAGAGAAAGAGGCATCACCGATGATGTCAAGGTTTTGAAAGACTGGCAGATGCTGTGATCAGGGAGGGGCAGGCCCGGGGAGAGGGGACAGAATATGAGGAGCTCAGTTTTGCCAGGCTAATTTTGGGATGCCTATCAGTGGAGATGTCAAGTGGGCAGCTGGATAAATGCATCTGGAGTTCCGGAGGAAGGTCCAGGTTAGAGGTGCAAAGAGCAGGGCATCGCCACGCACATATTGTGTTGAAGCCATAAGACCAGCCAGAGCCCCAGGGAGCCCGTGCTGAGGATCTAGAGGCGAGACTGGGCCCTGCGGCTCTCCATCCCTGCGAGGTGAAGCAGGTAAGAAGGAACCAGCAAAGGGCACTGAGAGGAGCACAGAGTGGGAGCCGAGGGAACAGAGCGTGTCCAGGAGAAGCAGTAAATGCTGTGACAGGCTGACAAGAGGTGGAGGACCGCCCACTGGGTTTAGCTGCGCGGAGGTCACCGGTGGCCACATGCAAGTCATCAGTGACCACAAGGAGATTCTCCTGGGGACGGGGGGAGGTGAGAGCCCATAGGAGTGCTCCAGGAGAGAGTAGGAGGGTACACTGTCCATCCGGGAGTTATTCTAGAAAAATAGCTTGGTCAAGAGAGGCTTTTTCTTATCTTTTTTTTATGATGGGAGGAACAGCATAATGATTTACATCAGGAGTCCTTTACAAAGAACAGCTTAATCCCACTCAAAGCCTATTTCCGTAAATACATTTTTTATGGGAACACAACCATGTTGTTTTGTTTTCGAGCTGTCTGTAGCTGCCTTTCGCCTACACAGGGAGTTGAGTGGTTGTGACAGAGATTGTATGGCTCCCAGGGCCTGATATTTACTAGCTGGCCCTCTACAGAAACGGTTGCTTAAAACTCGTACAAGTGATCCAGTCCGAGGGAGGCAGCAGATGATGCCGGTGGGAGGGAGGCTTGCTGCGAGATGTCCTGGAGCAGGCAGGAGGGAGAAGACCTGGCGAGCAGGTAGAGGGCTGACCTTATCTGGGAGCACAGACAGGGCACGCGGGAGGAGAGGAGGGAGAGTGTGCGGGCACAGACGCAGATGGGTGGGTGTGTGTGGTGGCCAAACCTCTGGAAGGCCTCTTCTGCCTGCTTCTGTTTTCTCAAGGTCATCAGGTGACAGTGACGTTGAGGAGAGCACGTTGGGGTTGGAGAGAGAAGGTGTGAGAATTACTAGGACAGGAAGATGAAGGAAGTGGGAAATCACAACACATTTGCTGTGCTTTCATCTGAGATGATGACCACATATTAAAGTGGAGCCAGTCAACAAGGTCACTGCTGTCTCCAGTTTCATTCTGCCACGTGGGTGCTGGCGTGGGGTCAGTGGAAACGTCCAATCTACTAGGTTTGGGGACTAGCCAGGAGAATGTGCTGAAGGGAAAGGGCATCATGGCAGCTCAGGTTGTAGCCAGGAGAGTGATTATAATCACTGACCACAGAATTTGAGCTGGGCAAGGAGGGACGTGAAACATGGTGGGCAGGGGACAGTGAAAGGGTGGAACCGCCCGCAGATCTTAGGTCCTGCGGGCTGGAAGGAGCCCTGGGGTGGAGGTGTTAGGAGGAGTGAGCTGCAGAAGAGGGTCAGTGGGCAGGGTTGAAGCCCAGACTTTGGAAGGGGTGCGGTGATGTTGGGATTTAATACTTTTCAAAAATAAACACTGGGCAGGCCAAGAAAACACCCACACCCGGAGTTTAGCCAGTTTCCCATCTGTGTCAGGTGTCTCCTTCCCCTCTTGATGGGTGCCCTTAGCTCCCAGATCCTTTCAATCCCAGGCCTCTTTCTTGAGCTCCAGGACAACACGTGCCCACCCACCCGGACTCCTCCACAAAGACAGTCCTCAAATTTAGCTTGTCATCTTTCCACAAGCCTGTTTTTGCCCTGCCCTGTCCCCACGGCGGCATGTTGGCTGCCCACAGCAGAGCCTGGTCCCTACCCTCTCCCTCACTGAGTCCATCCTGTGTCCCGGTCATTCTTCCCCTTCCTCCTCTCCATCCTGCTGCTGTGCCATAATGCAGACCACCAGTGTCCCTCAGTTGCACTGATGACTGTGATAGCCTCCGGAGAGGAACCTCAGCCTCCAACCTTCTGCCCCGGCCTTCATCTCCAGGGCCCAACCTGAGCTTGGCATCTTGCTGTTGTTAAATGAATGACAACCCTAATGGTTGCAGCCTGTAGCCAGAATGCTGCAAACTCAGCTGGCCATGGTTTGTCAGTCACTGGCTTTGTCACTTAGCAGACTTCTGTCACATACCTACTGTGTGCCAGGAACAGCCACAAATAAGTCTCGTAAGAGCCCAAGATTATTGGTGGGAAGGGAAGTAGACAGGTACAGTCCCCAATGAAAGTGGCATTGGTGAGCTGGACTCAGAGATAGACTTTGTCCTGGGAGGTCACTTGTTTGCCCAGTGGCCACTCTGTATCCACCTGTGGCCTAGCCTTGACATCCATGCACAACACCTGTGTGCCAGCCTCCCTCTCTGAGTGAGGGGCTCCCCTTTGGGACTTCCTCCCTTCCTCCCCTTCCTGTCTGCTTTGACCCTCTGCCTCCTTCTGCTCTCAGAGTCCCCACCCTGTCTGTCGCTCCCTCTCCCAGGAGCATTTGTACACACCTTTCTCCAGCAGAATGAAGTGGACTTTGCATCAAAAAGCCTGAGTTCTTGTCCCAGATCCACCCCATACTGGCTGTGTGACCTTCAACAAGTCACTCAGCCTCTTTAAGTCTCCATTTCCTTAAGTAAAACATGAGTTTACTATTAGGTTTACCTTGGAGTTAGACTGTGAAAAATAGATGTGATTCTCTGTATAAAAGTACCCAGCTCAGTGCCAATACAGATCGGGGCTCAGCAGGCATTAGTTTGATGCGAATCATCATGAAGCTATCCTGACCATCCCTCTCCACCACCAAACCAGAGGTGACACCACATCCTACCACACCTCCCAAGCGACTTTTTTTTACCTCTCTTATGGCCCACCCTGAGTGGCAGAACTACACAGTAGTTAAATGCTGGAGAAATGCGGATGGGGGCCAGCTGGCATCCTCACTGGTCCACATGTTAAGGACTACTGGACGTTGTCAGTCAGGGTCGGCCACAGTACCGGCCCCCTGTGGCCAGATCTTCCAGTTTTTCCAGAGAAATGAGAAATGCAGATGTGCGTGTGAAATCAACCTCTTCAAAATATTGGCAACAAATTCAATGAAAAAAATATCTGTGGGAACCAATTAAAACACATCTAAGGGCCAGTTTGGCCCCGAGGCTACCAGCTTCTAACTGCTGCACTAGTTTCGGAGAGTGTGGGCTCAATCCCAGCCTCTGCACCCCTGACCTTGGCCCGGTTACAGCCTCCTGTTTGTGCTTCAGCTTCCTCACCTGTAACATGAGTGCAGCAATAGCTAACACGTATTGGGCACCCTTTCTCCCGAGGCACTCAATGCACTACGCTTGACAGTAGTGCTCCAGGCACTGGTGCTTCTGGGCACGTACTTGTCCATTTCCCACCAGGGGAATGGCAGCTGCTTGAGGTCAGGAGGTTCCCCAGTCTACTTGCTGCCACCTCTTTGGGGCCTCCCAAATTGGCTCAATGATTCGCAGTCTGGTGAGGAAGAGGTTTGATGGAAGGCAGAGGACCTGCCCAGCCCTCAACCCCCCACTCCTGCCCAGACCTGCCTGGGCCTGCTCTGTGAGGGACACTAGAAGAACAGAAGTCACTGTCCCATGAGTGCAGTGCAGGAAGGCCACGACTGGTTTCCCGGGTCCTGTGATTGGGGTTCATTTCTTTAAGAGCACTCTGAAGACATCAGACACTGGGATTACCTAGATGGGACTTCTCCGTCTGTTTCTTATTACTCAGACGTCCGGGGGCCAGTCTTTGATACAGGAACAGTCTTCCTGCGTCCCCTCCAAGCGTCCCCTCTCCCATACCTCCCACCTCTGCCAGCCCACAGATCAGTCCCAGGCCTTGGCCGTTAGGACTCCCAGTGACTCCTCTCCTCTGTCTCCTTGTGCAGAAATGGAAGCTCCATTCTCGGAGACGCCGGGAGGCCATGAAGACATCTCCAGGGTGTTACTGCCCGCCAGGTAAGGAGCCGTACGAACGGGTGACGACAGGGACACACACCAGAGGCCCTCTCAGTGGTTGTGCTCTGGCCACACCCTGCTCAGCTTCCACTGAAAGCTTTTCATTTGAAAGATGGGAATGACAATATCTGTGATGTCGCCTTTCATCTACTCATTGATTGGCCCACCCATTCCTTATCCATCATGACTCATTCAAGCATTCATTCATTCCTAAACTCTTCTATGGGCTTTCACTATATGCACCAGGTTGTGAAATTAGACAAGATAATGGGTGTGGCTGTGTTTTGCAAATTCTGAAGTGTTATGCAACATTGAGAGAAGATAAGCCCAAGAGGGCAGGGACCAGGTTCATCATGGTCACTACTGTGCCTCCAGCTCCTGACACACAGTAGGTGTACAAGAGTGTTTGTTACCGGAGTGAATGAATTATCCCATAATTGTAAAACTCCCTGCCCTCACTAGGTGGCTTAAGGTGCTTTGTGCTGCATGGTGTCTAGACTACCTGCACAAATGCACCCTGGCACACAGCTCCAGGTCGAAAGGTGACGCGGTGTAACTGAGTTAACCGGTCCAGTCTGCCATTTACTGGCCCTGTGTGCGCAGCTCACCTCCAAGGGCGCCTCATCTAGCGCTCTTCCCTCTGTATCGCACGACCTGCTCCTCACCGGCTCTGTCCACCTGGTCACCGCTATGTCCTGAGACCTGTTCTGTGCTGGGCACCGTGCTGCCTGTTGGGTTCAGTTTCATTGTCCACAGTTAATAATAGTGATAAGTAATTTCCAGGTTGCTGACCATTAGTATTAAGCCATGAGAATGACAGGTGCACAAGTTTCATTGTTCCCTTGGTAACTGGTATGGGCTGTACTTCTGGGGGAATGAGGAAGGAAGCTCCGGAAAAGAGCTGGGGCAGAAAATAATCGAGTAATCGCAGAGGATTTTGCTCTGCTCTGGACCTCTGCCAGTTCAAAGTGTAGCCCCTCGATGCCCGCTGTGGACAGGTGGCATTGGCAGGACACTAACTGGGCTCTCTGGCAGGCCCTCCATGGACATAGGATCTGAGGGGCCCTAGTAGCCCTCACCCATGGTCCCCAAGCCAGGGAAGAGAGGCCAACAGATGTTGAGCATATGGGAAATGGAGGGACTGCATTTGCTGGAGCATGAGTGGGCTGAGGTCGGAGTCACAGTTCAGGGGAACTGCCACAGGAGATGGTGACATCATGATGGGATTCAGCTGGTCCCAGTTGGAAGAGGGTCATCTGGGTTAATTAAAGGGTGCCCAGAAGCCCTGGGAAGCTCGCTCCCTCCCTCCCTCGGGGCCCAGGAGATTGAGCCCTGGGATCTGGGAAAGCTTTTGGGAGAAAAATGCCAAGATTAATGAGATGAAATGAAGGCAAAGGTGGGGTGATGGGGCCTGGGCAGAGCCACTGTAGGTAGCATCGGGGTTTCTAAGGCAGCTGTGTTTCAAATAATCATGTCTGTTGTCTCCATAACTCGGTCAGTTGCAGTTGTAGGGGGGAGTTTGCTCAAAGTATAGAGTGCTAGTGAAAGGCAGGAGATTTGGAGCCATGGAAGACAGGGGTTTGAATTTCAGCTCTGACATTTACCAGCTGTGTGACCTTCAGAGAATTATTTAACCTCGCGCTGCCTTAGTTGCCTCATGTGAAAAATGGGGATAAAGCCCATTTCGCAGGTATATGATGCAGTGAGATAATTGTGGGAAGTACTTAGCACCTTTCCTGATTCCTAGTAAACAATTACTCTCCTCCCTCAATTCCTCTTTCATTTTAAAGATGCTCAGAAATCCTTATCAAGCACCATGTCCTGATGTTGGGGGCAGTGTGGGCAAGGTAGAGGCTTACCTTTCTCTCCTCCCTGCCTGACTGGGCATCACATGTCCCGCCCGCTGTCTGAGTGGGTGCCTAGCCTATAGGTGTCAGTTTTGTGCTTGGGAGAGTCTGGCTCTGGTGGCCCTGGGAGGCTGGGAGCTGGGGAGGCTGTGGCAGGAGGGAGGAGGGATTTGGAAAAGTGCTTTCTCTCTCCTCACCTTCTGGGAGTCCGTGTGGGACCCAGGGCTCTGGGATAGGGGGAGAAAGTCGTGAGGGAGCATGAGCAGCTCCCAGGTGGCGGGTACGAGGGCACATTGGAGTGAAGGGACACAGTGGGGAGAAGGAAGGGCTTGATGCAGGCCCTGTCTGGGAGGGGCCACCAGCAGGGACTAAGTTAGCCAGGAGATGGGAGGAGGGAGAGCAGTGGCTTCTGGAAGGGGTGGCCAGGGTGTTAGAGAATTCCCCAGAGGGCAGTTTGGCCTGAAGTATAGATCAGAGCCAGGTAGTTAGAGAATTTAAAGAGAAGACCCCAAATTGAAGCAAAATAAGCAGGAGACTAAGATGCTTTCCCAGCTTTTTGGAATTGGCAGAGGACTGGAAGGGCTGCACAGGGGCGGCACGGACAGCAGAAATGTGGGGTGAATGCATCTAGTAGGATGGGCTAGGTCCTGCTGCGTCCCTGGACCTGGCCCCTCTGCCCAACCTGAGGCTTCCTGCAGTAAAGTTACCTCCTTCACACTGAAGCCTGCAGGCCAAGTGGCTGCCAACCTGGTTTGAGTAATAGTAGTTATTGCTGCTGCCCCTAACTGAGGACCTACTATGTGCTAGGCACAGTACTGAGCACTTCACAATACTGAGCACTTCTCCAAACAGGCAGAGTGGAGTTCTCACATTCTGAGATGTTTGCAAATCTCCAAACTCATGAGTAAAACACCACGCTCACTCATGCGCCTAAATCATGCATCTTCCAGTAGTTCCTTAGGGTCAGCGTTTATGAACCACTGTTCATAAACTTGGACAGTTGTGAGTGCCACATACAGAGTCAAAGCATCATTCCATTTTCTCTTGCCAGCATCTCATCTTGTGCCCCATACACTGTAGATGTTCAAGGAATGTTCCATAACTGACCATCAAGAATCACCCCTGAATGATTGGACTCGTTCTTGTGCTCTCCATCTCCCCTCAGGTTGGTTTCTGATGTCTCCCCCACTTTGAGGCTGCTCTAAGTCTTGCCTGATGCTGAAGTCACAGCTGTTGGGACACAACAAATAAACACACACTCTTCCTGCCCACTGTGGCAGCTAAGATTGGAGCCTAGAGCCCCAACCCTGTGCCTGCCCCCAGTTTGCCTCTGCAGCCCCTGGGCTGAGGTGGGCATCCTGTGGTGGGTGTGTTCTTCCTTGTGGCAGCCTTGGGCCCTGGGCAGCATCCAAAGGGCTTGGGACACATAATCATGGGCAGAAAACCCACCTCCTTCCCTTCCTACTCTGACCTTGCCAGCATCCTCCCAGGATCCTCCCTGTCCCAAAATAGCCACGTACTGGCTGAAATCTGGCTGTATCCTGCTTCTGGGCTGCGTGTACTTCTCGCCTGGGGAGTGATGGGCCTGTGGGCCTGGGACGGGATGCCAAAGGTCAGGCCTTTTAGGAGAGACACGGCTGCCAGAAGTTCAGAGGAATAGGTGTGGACCCTTTGCAAAGCCTATGGCCTGGAGGGACAGGAGAAAGGCGCTGGGAACAGATATACAGACCGTGGGACTTCCTAGGCCACTTGAAAAGAACACAAAGATCAGGGAAACTCTCCCATTCTCTTTCCCTGTTCTTAGTAACAAATGAGGAGCACGACAATGTAGGCTCCAGGCAGCAAGGAAGCAGCTACTTCAGGCCCGCCACGCCGGGGCTGGGTGGGGCTGGGTGGGGCTGGCAGTGTGAGGGATGCCACAGGGTCCTACACATGGAGGGAGCCAGGACCAGCCGAGCTGCCGGAGCAGGCTCCTTCACTGTCTGGGCTTCGCCTTTAAGGGGAAGACTAGGTCAGAGTCACGCACTGACCCCCAAGCCAAAAGGCTGGACAACTGTAGTGGGGCAAGGGGTGACATGGTCAGGTCTGTGCATTAGCAGGGTCGCCAGCTCTGGCATAGAGGATGGATGAGGGGAGAGGAGGTGCCTCCAGCCAGGCTAGTGGAAGAGGCCTTGGCCATCCCCTGGTTTAGGGTGTGCTGATGAGATGTGCGTATGAAGTTCCAGGGATTCCAGAGCTTGAACCTCCCGGAAAACTTCCCGGAGGAGGTAGCACTGGAGGCTGGCGGTAAGGAACAGAGGAGCAGGTGGGGACACAGAGTTAGGGCATAGACACAGCTGCCGCCATAACAACAGACCCCAAATACAGGCATTCCTATAAGGAAAAAGGGGGGTCTCTTCCTTAGCAGGCTGGTCCAGGGCTGGAAGGGTGGCCCTGCCATCATCAAGTGGCTTTCGTCTCGGGGCTCCTAGCAGCTGCTTCATTTTCACTATCCCCTGGCCGGCATGGAGAAAGAAGGGGCCCTGGAGAGTACGTGCCCCAACCCTAGAGCAACACTTGAAGAAAACATCACTTCTGCTCATGTCCCATTGGCCAGCGCTTAGCCGCTGGTTCCCCCGATCCCAGGGAGGCCAAGCAGTGTTTTCTGCTGGGTGGCCGTATGCCCGGACACAACTTTATTACTCTGGGACGTGGGAGACCAGAGTCCTAGGAACAACTAAGAGTCCGCATGGAGGGCACTCCAGGTGAGGCACCGGCGTGGGCGGAGGCTCTGAGCGTGAGAAAAGGCAGGCCTGTGTGGGAACGGCAGGCAGGTGGAGGAAGCCGGAGCGCAGGGCAGTGACGGGCAGCAAGGGCGGGAGAGGCAGCGAAGGCCCGGGCTGAGGAGCTCCCGCTCAGATCTCGCCCTCGAAGGGTTTCCCCCCGAGGGTGCCTGGTACGGCTGCCTGGAGCGCTCTGCTGAGTCCCATTCCGAGGCTGCATCCAAGGGCAGCTGAAGGTGCGGCAACCGCTTAACAATGTGCCGCGGGTGCCTGGGGTGGGCAGCGATGCCTGCGCCCTGGCTTCGTTACTCTACCCGAGATGATGTCGCGTCAGAGAAGGTTCGGGGAGTAGGGATGGGATCTGATCCAATTTGTATTGTAGAGCCTTAGC